CGTGTCATTGTGGCCAGATTCACTATGTATTGTGGGCGGAGTCACTGACTCATTGTCGTCGTGTCACTGTGGCTGGAGTTGGCGTGTCACTGTAGCAGGCGTATAACTGTGGCCGGAGTCGGAGTGTCACTGTGACCGCAATTGGCGTGTCACTGTAACCGCGACTGATATAATAGTGATGGTAGTCACATTTTTGGAAATTAAACTAAATGTCACTTTTTTTAACGTTTATCCACTTTTTAGTAATATTGGAGTAAAAACCCCTACAAATAATAATATATTTAATTGGAACAATTTTCAAGTATATTCAAATGATAAATTCATTTAGTATAAAAAAATACTTGTATAAACTTTAACGTAACTTATTTAAGTTATTTTGGAGTTATCATTCTCCATAGACCTATTTATATTGATTTGAATTTTGGTGAAATGACTTACGGATACGTTTTGATGGAAGATAGTGCTACTCCGTATGAAAATGAAATGGGTCATAAAGGACAAATTATACTTCGTATACAAGAATATATTTTAAATACTTTGGTTAAGTTGACATTTAATCTTTTTCAAATTTAAATATTCGAATATAATTCGATCATTTGAATATAACAAATAAAGAAGTTTTTTTCTAAAATATTACTAAAAAAAGTTACTGACAAAATGTGATTTGATAACTTTTAGTGACTAAAATTGTTTACATATATGATGTAGTGACTATGACGTAAACTTGGAATACAATGAAACAAAAATGAATACATAATAAGATTCGATTATTAAATGAAACAAATATTCGATAATTTATATGAATTTAATAATCAATAATAATGTGAAGCATTCGATTCTATTCGACTTGCTTACATCCTTAGTGTCACAAGTCCATTTACAACATCACACACATGCAAGAAATGGCGCTTAATTGATTGATTGTGTGTCCTTTTGTTCCATACACAATTTCTCAGAGAAGAGTAAGTGATTGATCAAACACCACAATCTATACACTCCATTTTCATTTTTAGCTAGCAACTTTACTTATCAATATATATATATATATATATATATATATATATATATATATATATATATATATATGGAAAAGATCTTGTCCAGCCGGAGGGACAGGATCCTCCGTCCGGCCGCCGCTGTTTAGGGCGGTTCCCGGTGGAGAACATGCTCACAAAATTTCATCAAAAAGTATGACCCGGAAGCACATCAAATGAAAGAGGCCTAAGAATTTCAATTCTTAGGCCTACCTTACTTGAACATTTTCCTATATATATATATATATATATATATATATATATATATATATATATATATATATATATATATATATATATATATATATATATGTTACTTACTTCAAGGGGTGTCTGGGGAGAGGGTCTGGGGGGCTTGACGTAAACTGAGCTGAAACTCACTCCATTGAGTTTCGAACTCGAGACCTTCCATAAGGGAGAGTGAGTCGGCGACCAGTTGAGCTGTACCGCTTCCTCACTGTATTCATCAACAAACGTATGTACATTTTTTTTAAGAAACAGATTTTATTAAAATAAAGCCAGAGTACATGATAAAAAGTAACAAGTAAAAGCAAAGAGAAAGAAAAAAGAAGGAAATAAAGAAAACCCCAACCCAAAGCTTAACAAGAAATCCCTTAAATTTTTAGATAATCCCAAACCCTTGGTCAAAACTTCAACGATCTGCTCGTGATTGAGATCGCGTCCTCATAAGATGCAAACGCTAATTCTTTTTTCTGTAAGTTCTTGTCTGCGTGTTCAAATTCTATGTAGGTAGACAATTTTCTCGCGTGACCCTTAGTGCTTTGACACAAATATCATCATTTGCATCAGAGTCCCATAAATTATCCACAGTCGAGATAGAAACCCTGTTTTCATTCTCTGAAGCATGTCCAAGGACTTCATCCCTTGAGAATGGAGAGCACGGGTCGCCATAAAATCCATCTCAAGCAAAAGCATTAGAAAGATTAGGCATGGACCCGGTTCGGGCCGCCCGGCCCGGGACCGGCCCGGCCCGCCACTGTGCGAGCCCGGAACCGGCCCGGTTCTCGGGTCCGGGTCCGGGTCGGGCCTAGGACCGGTGGGGTGGGCGGGGTCCGGGCTCGGGCCTTGTATTTGGCGAACCGGCCCGGCCGGGTCGGGCCCGGGCCCGGGCCGAATTGAATTTTTTTTTTAACTTTTTTTCTTTTTTTGGGGTTAGCCAAGTTGGGCTTGATGGTTAGGAGGGGTTTGGGGGTTTGGGGGGGGTGTGGGGGTGAGTGGGGGGGTTAGGAAAGCAAAAAAAAAAAAAAAAAAAAAATTATAACCGAACCGGAGGCCCGGACCCGGCCCGGACCCGGTGGCTACCCGGGCCGGTCCCGGGCCTTCCTTCCCAAAAAAAAAGCCCGGCCGGGCCCGGCCCGGAACCGGCCCGGCCCGGGTCCATGACTAAGAAAGATTAACAACCCATCATATCCCGACTCTTGATCTCCGGACTGCTGCTGATGAGCTTTCTCCACAACGGAATTAGAATTCCCTTCGTTAGAGGGTCCCAAAATCAAGCTGTCACGCTTATCTAAAACCGAAGCAAGAAGTCTTTCAATTTCATTAGTTAGAAAATAAGATAATGAATTAACCCCATTTGACAAAGTGACTTGAAAGAAGTCCTTAAGATTCGAAATTGCATCAAGTTCATGCGAATGCTTAATTAGGTTTTGTTGTGTCATTGAAACTCAACTCTCGCTCCAGTATCAGATTGAAACAAAGCTCCTGAAATGGAAATATCATGTGCCGAACAAACCTATGTACATATAAGGATGTCGTTTGGTAACACTGTTTTTCGGCTTAAATTAGCAGTCTTATCAACCAATTTTTTCACAAAACACATAAGTTTTGATTTCGCGCACAGAATGATGTAATAATAAGAAAAAGTAAGGTTGGAATTACTTTCTGGCTGTATTGACCGAAGTTACCGTAGATGACCATTTTAACTATTTTTACATATAATTTTAATTTGTCTTTATTTTATTAATAAAATATATTTTGAAAATTATTTTTTCTTAAATCAGCAGTATCAGCCAATGCAGCCACTTCAGCCATATCTTCATACATTTCAGCAGAATTAGCCGATGCATCCGATTTTCGTGTTACCAAATGGGCCCAAGGTATCTATAGTGTCATAGTTAGTAGAGGAATTGTCGCCATTGGATTTGATAATCTTGAAGTATTTCCACATTAGCCAATAAAAGTACTTGGAGAATTAGTGTCCGTTTGGTAGCCCAGTTTTTTGGCTTATCAGCCAACTTTTTCACCAAACACATAATTTTTGATTTCGAGCGTTGATCGAATTGCGTAATGATAAGAAAAAGTATGGTTGAAGTTATTTTTCTGGTTGTATTTGTTGAAGTTACTGTAGATGATCATTTTAACTATTTCCTCATATAATTTTTTCTTTATTTTATTAATAAAATATATTTTAAATATTTTTTTAATAAATCAGCGAAATCAGCCAATTTTACCAGAATTTCGTAAATTTGAGCAGAATCAACCCATTCAACCAATTTTGATACTATGTATTACAAACGGGTTCTTATTTTACTTCTATTAGAACAATTTCTTAATCGTAAGTACCTAGTAATAAAGCAATACTCCCTCCGTCCCCTTTTAAATGGGACGGGAGATGGTGGCACGAGTTTTAAGAAAAGTGAGTTTGTGTGGTTGATATTAATTGATAAAGTAAGGATAAAGTAAGAATGATTTTGAGCCACACAAAGTTTACCAAATAAGGTATGGGACAATTAAATAGGAACATTCTAATATGGTAAAACGGGACATTTAAAAGAGGACGGAGGGAGTAATTGATATGGTTATAATTAGAGTTAATTATCAAAATAGGACTAAAAGTCATTCACTTTGCACAAATAGGACCAAAAAATAAACTATGTTTCCATAGGACTAATTATGTTTGTCTTGGACAAATATATCCTTATACCTATTGGAATGTTTTAATTCATAATAAAATAATAAAAAATAATGAAAATTCGTAAAATATACCAAAAAATTAATAAAAATATTTTGAATAATAATAAATTTAAAAAAAAAAATTTAAAAAAATAAAAAATAAAAAAAATTAAACAAAATTAAAAAAAAATCAAAAAATTATTTTTTTTGTCACCGCCGCCTATACCGCCCCAGCACCACCACCTCTAGTCATTTGGGGAAAAAATGCCAAATTTATTATGAATTCCATATTTTTGGCATAATTCAGAATGATTTAAGATGGAAGAAAAAAAATGTGGGCATTCTCAAAGAGAAATATGCCATATTTTTGGCATTTTCCGAAAAAAATGGAAGTTTGTAGGAAATATGACATTTTTTTTTTAACGGTCGGAGGTGGTGGTGCAGGGAGGCGGTACCACCACCTCCTGTCACCGGGGTAAAAAAATGCCAAAAAAATTATGAATGCCATATTTTTGGCAAAAGTCAAAAGGATTCAAGTTGGCAGAATGAAAATGTTGGCATTCTCATAGAGAAATATGCCATTTTTGTGGAATTTAAAAAAAAAGTGGCATTTTTTACACTGTTCGGAGGTGGTGGTTCAGGGAGGTACTACAGGCGGTGGGAAAGGTATCCATATTTTTTATAATTTTTTTTATGTAGTTTTACTATTTTTTTATTAATTTTCAAAAAAAAAAATTAAAATTTTTTTTTCCTTATTTTTTATTTTATAAAAATTTTATTAATTTTTTTATTATTTTTCTACGAATTATTGAAATTTTTTCGAATTTATTATGAATTAAACATTTAATTATGACTTTTAGCTATCTTTTACTAATATTTAAAGGAGGGGTAAGAATGGAAGGAAGAAATGAGTATGTTTCCAATAGGACCACTATGGTCCTATTTTGGAAAAAAAACATAGCAAGTCCTATTTTGAGTTTTTGCCATAGTTTTAGTCCTATTTGAAGTAATTTCTATTATAATTATGTCGGCATGGGTATATCCGTATATATGATAGACAAATATACACAGTGACTTAGCACATACGTGCGTCCTATAAATAGGCTGGGAAGATGATATAATGACTCCAACTATATAGGCAAGCTAGCTTCAATTCGTGCATCTTTGGGAAAATATATTGAACTAAGCTAATTTATAGATAAGCTAGCTCGGGAAGATGACGAGTGAACTTGTGCAAGTGCAACCAAAAGGAAAGGTGATAAGCATTCTGGCCATAGATGGGGGCGGCGTTAGGGGAATTATTCCAGGCACTATTCTTGCTTTTCTTGAAGCTCAGCTGCAGGTATAGTACCTCCAAGCTCACTATCTTCAATATTCAATACTCGTACCGTTTTATTGGACTTTGCCAACTTTGTGATTCTATTTATTTCGCTAGCACTTTTCTTTGCACAAACCTCATGCATCAACCACACCACACGTCTTTTACTTTTCTTATTCCTCGCCTAATCCGAAGTTGGCAGTCCCCGGGACGGATGAAATATTGATGAATGAATTGATTGAATTGATACAATGATGAACAGAAATTTGAGGGGAACCCAAATGCGAGGATAGCAGACTACTTTGATGTGATAGCAGGAACCAGCACCGGCGGGCTTGTGACGGCAATGCTGACCACTCCTGGAGATAATGGCCTCCCTCTCTTTGCCGCAGCTGATATTCCCCCCTTTTACATGAAAGAGTGTCCTAACATCTTCAAAAAAGAATCCAAAATCAAAACTGCCAGCACCCAAAGCCTGGTTACTTCCTTGCTCACCACAAACGTTGCTGATGTTACTGCTGCTGTGGAAAACCCCAACTTTGAGTTGCCCCAGTTCTCAGAAGAAGATATCCCTGACTTTTACAAGCAGTGCCTCCCTCATTCAGCCCCGCCGCCGCTTCAAACGCCCATAGCGAATGCCCATATGATAAGTAATTTGAAGTAAGGATCACCAAACATAATACTCCCTCCGTATTTTAATGTTAGCTACATTAGGTTGGACACATTATTTAAGAAGCAAAGTAGTGGTGAATAAAAGTATAAAAGCTAAGAGAAAATAAAAAATACTACCTCTGTTCCTAAAAATTCTTCCCGGTTTGACTTGGTACGCTTATTAAGAAACTGGAATAAAGTGGAAATGTATGATTGTGGTTGTGTAAGAAAAAAGTAAAATGAATGTGAACCACACAAATTATCCTAAAAGGGAAAGTGAGAAGTATTTTTGGGAACGGCCCAAAAAGGAACGTAAAAGTATTTTTGGGAACGAAGGGAGTAGATAAAGTAAGGATAGTTGAGTATTTTATAAAGAGTAAACTAACCAAAAATGGATGTGTAAGGAACTTTTAAATACAGCCCAAAAAAGAAAGTGTAGAGAACTTTTAAATATGGAGAGATGAATATGTAATTGTGTAAAATTTATGAATTTTACACATGAAAGTATTTTTACCAAAGAACAATTTTCATATTTAAAACCATTTCATATATTTAGTGTTATTGGTCAAATTTGATCATCATTGATCAAGAAGTGTACGTGATCAAGATTTATGTGGCAGAGTGAGTATATTACATTTTAAAGAAGTTGTATATACACACACTTTTTCTCATATCTTTGATCACCATTTTACGTTTTAATAAGTAACTAATCGCCTTATCCTAAACAACTACTCCGTAAATAACTTCAATTTGAATGATATGGACAGGTCGAACACGACAGGTAATAGTAATTCCCTATACCTACCGTCCAAAACAGGACACAATGTGTGGGTATCATCTATAATCTTGATACCATCGGCCATTAGCTAAGAGGTCGTTTGGGGCAATACTATTTTTTAACAGCCAACGTTTTCACCAAACACATATTTTTTGTTTGTGAGCGCTGAATTGTGTAATAAGCAGAAAAAATAAGGTTGGAGTTACTTTTCTGACTGTATTGGCTGAAGTTACTGTAGATGACTATTTTAACTATTTTTACATATAATTTTTTCTTTATTTTATCTATGAAATATATTTTAAAAATAATTTTTTCTTAAATCAGCACAATCAGCCAATACAACCACTTCAACCAGAACTTCATAAATTTTAGCAAAATTAGCCAAAACAGTCAATTTTGATGCTACCAAACGGGCTCTAGTGAATAATAGTCATTGCCATTCTTTCCACAAAAAATAGTCATTGCCAAACAAATATCATAGTCATTGTGATATAAATTGTGAACATAATTATAGTAAAAAATGTTATTAAATCACATTTTATGCGTTATCTTTATTTTGATCACATATTAGAAATTGTTGCGTGCTAATTATTAGATGCAATATTTGTGCAGTTTGTTTGCATTTTCGGATATTTGGGCTTGGTTTAAGAAACTAGGGTCTAGTGTGTGGTATGTCATCGAGTTCATTGAGAAGATGGGTTTTCGTCCAATGTATGATGGTGCTTACTTGCATGTCAAGATCAAAGAAATGGTTAAAGACATCAAGCTTAATCAAACTCTCACTAACGTTGTCATCCCGACTTACGATGTTCATCGCTTGAAACCAGTCATCTTCTCCTCTTTTCAGGTATGATTCTAATTCAATGTATAGCGTTCTTGTATGTCCGCGTGACCTGGCATGGTGGTATATAAAGATTTATTCAAGATAAATTTTGTTATTACACATGTTTTTACTTGGACTTATTTCAATCTCAGACCAAACCAGTCAGACCAGATCAAATCAAACCAGATCAGACCAAAAGAATTCAAAATTGGGGTGGGATAGACCTAATATGGCTAGTTGACTAGTTTGTTTAATTGATCAATTGAATTGAATTGTAGGCAAGGAAGGAGGCTTCAAAGAACCCAAAACTCGCAGATGTATGCATTGCCACGTCGGCAGCACCGATTTACTTACCTCCACATAGATTTGAGTTGCAATCATCTCAAGGGACTGAGAAGTTCAACCTCGTTGATGGCGGAGTTGCCGCCAACAATCCGGTAAGTAACAACGCTTATAAGAAATTTATTTATACTCCGCACAAAATAATAATTACTCTGTACTACGAGTACGCAAAGCATTGCGTGCAAAATTTAAGAGTATCCTTAATTTACCATAAACTACTCCATAGAATACATTCAACTCTATTAAAAGGTAAGATTAGTGAGTAAAATGAATACCTTAACTATTAAAAGGTAAGATTAGTTTTGTTGCATTTTTATACCATAATTTTTAAATGAAACAAAGCAGTATTATAAATCCATAATTAACAAATAACAACATCCAAGCCTTAGTCCCAAAAGATATTAGGGTCGGCTAACATGAATCGATATATAATATCACCAAAAGGAAAAGAAAGAAAATAAAGATAAAAAGATAAGCTATTATAAAAAAGATAGTATAAAAGAGACGAATATACATATAGAATATACAGAAGAAATGATAAAAATAATATTTATATATAAGAATAAAAGGATAAAAAAGAGGTGAAAAGATGATACAAGATCACTCCTCCACACAAATAAGTCTTATTTTAGGAAAAACGATGATAATTATATACTATCATATGTGCATTTTATTTATATTTTAGTCCTATATAAGAAATTTTCTTGGATGATTGATTAGGTTCTGGTGGCAATATTGGAAGCAGCAAAAGCTTATAATGTCCGGCCACTGCCGGAAAATTTCAGGATCCTGTCATTGGGGACGGGATCATGCACAGGCACTCAAATGGCTGAAGTGGGCGACCCCACTAGTTGGGGCGTGGTCAGGTGGTTGCTGTTTCCGAACAACACCCCTCGTATCACCGACGTTTTCATGGGCGGCAATGAGAGCATGGTGGACGCCTACACCTCTCTGCTTTTCAGCGGCGGAGCCACTTCCGGCGGCCCCGACAATTTCCTCAGAATCCAATACCAAGGAATGAAGTACGATGAATGTCTGGTTGATGACTCTAGCAAAGCCTATCTACAAAAATTGGAACAGTATGCAAATGATCTGCTTAAGGATCCTGTTTCTGGTCCGACCACTTCCAACGCTCTTGAGCTCACAAATGAAGAGGCTCTCATTTCGTAAGTTCTCATTTAACTTAGTGACAACATTTTTATTTCACGTTGTCTAAGAGATGACTTTAACCTTTCATATACAGAGCATTTGAGTGGATCTTAATAACAATGAAAAAATTGAAATTTTATACGTATTTGAGATAAATTTTTAGGTTTTATAATTTAAATTTTAATAGAAGTGTGGGAATTATGTGCATAATGAACACATAATACACATACAATGGTACAGACTACTGAGACTAGTTTGGCATGATTTATCATCGATAAATGATACTACCTTGCCCCACTAACATTGAAATATGATGGGGCGGTGTGGTTATTAAGAGAAAAGAGATATTACCCAAAATGAGACTAAAAAAGTTTGGAAATTCCAAAATAGGACTTTCATGTTTTTATTCCCAAAATAGGACTAATTACTGTCATGTTTTGGCAGTACCAGACTTCAAACATGGCAGTATTTTCCAAATTTGGCAGTAATTAGTCCTATTTTGGGAATAAAAACATGACAGTCCTATTTTGGAATTTTCAAATTTTTTTAGTCCCATTTCGGGAACTTTCCCTTAAGAAAAGTGAGGATATGTGGTTGTTATTGAATTGATAAAGTAAGTACGGAGTATAAAATAAAAATGATTTAGAACCACACAAATTTTACCAAATTTGGTTTGAGACAATCTTAATTGGACGGACCGAAAAGAAAAGATGAGACAATTTTAGCGGAAGTACATAATGTACCTATGAAACACGGATACTTCACTGGAATACCATGTCGGTGAATCGGAAACATTCACATATCAGATAATCTAGGATACTTCACTTTATCCGCCACTATTTTTTAAAAGGGTAATAATGTAATAATAAGAATAAGTACAATAAACACTTGCATAACAGAATTGATACTATATGAATATTTTAACTAATAATGCTATAATCAATTCATTACCCTGGAGATGCAGCAGGTCAACTTCAAATCTTCAATAATTTCAACAATTTGAGTATGTTGCAGGTTTGCTCAAAACTTGGTGAGAGACAAGAAGCATTGATGATTGTGGTAATTAAGAATAAGGAAGGGCCTAGTTGAGTGACGATGCAAACTTCATTCCATGCAGGCACTTTCCAAAATAATATATCATCTGATCTTACTTAGTGTGTCATTTTCAGTAATACTCCGTAATAATGTTGTAACAAGACGTATGAAAATAAATGTATTGGATCGATCATTATCAGCCATTCCAGTATGTATAACTACACTACTACTACTACTAGTGTGGTGCTAGGCTGGTCATCCATATGATGTGTGTCTTCATCCTAATAATGAAATCTTGGTGTGAGATATACTCCGATCCGTATAACCTTATATCCATAATCCTTACTAGCAGTATTTTGTTTCGACACATTTTAATTCTATTCATACTTTATAAATTCAATATAAATCAAGCACCAATTATTATCTTGATAATTGTAACACTTCCTCACGTTCAATATGATGTGTGTCTTCATCCTAATTAATAATGAAATCTTGGTGTGAGATATACTCCGATCCGTATATAATACGGAGTATATTCTTTCTTTTCTTTTGCCAATTTGTCTAATGCTAGACTATTCCTCATAACCTTATATATATCCATAATCCTTACTAGCAGTATTTTGTTTCGGGACAAATTTTAATTCTATTCATACTTTATAAATTCAATATAAATCAAGCACCAATTATCTTGATAATTGTAACACTTCCTCACGTTCAAAAGTAAAATTAACTGATGGAGGGAGCAGAAGATGTTGGTTTTAGGTTAGGGTTGTAATAGACAAAACGTTTTCCCAACTCCCAAGCACTTTGACATTCATGTTATTTCCATGTTTATGTTTGTGTTTTTGATTAGTTTTGAGTGATTGTTACTCTAGAAATTACACACTTTTGGTGTAATAGTTTAGTTTGTAAAATGTTTGTAAATTGTTTAGATTAGGTTTGTTCTGAGCTCAAACAGGTCCAAGACCACTCTAGAGACCATTGGTGAACATCACAAGTGGAAGGAAGGTGCAAAAATTCCAAAACAAAATGAAGATCCTGATTTTTGGTGTTGTACCCGGTCGAGTATACCCTATACTCGATCGGGTAAGTTGCTGAAAAATCAAATCGGATAAATCCGCGAACAAGGCAACATGCAGAGAAGATTTTAACCACGATCGAGTGTCTATACCCGATCGGGTAGCCGACATACCCGATCGGGTATGCCCATGTTTTTCCAGCTTCCGCGAAGCAACTGAAGGCCCGATCGAGTACCCAATATACCCGATCGGGTACATGACCCTGCAAGCCCAAAAAGCCTATAAATACACCCCATTTCCTCCACAATAGATAACCAATTCCTATATACTTCTAAGCTCAGTTTAGACAAGTTCTTTCTTTATACTTTTATCATGTTTAGTCTCCAAATGAGGAGCTAAACTCTTCCATCTTGGTTTTGCTACTTTGAAGCTTAATGATTTGTAAGTTGTGAGTTATTTTCTCTAAACTTCTTCCTTGAATATTAATTACTTCCTATTCTTATTCTATATTAATATATTGAGCATTACTTAAAGTATCAACTAGTCTTGTTCTATATATTAATTATTACTAGAATCGGTCGGTTAATACGCTTGTTATTAATTCGGTCCTTTCACGGTAGTAAACTTGGGTTGTTAATGCATGCTTCTCATGGTTAATAAGCCAAGGGGAATTAATTATGTTGATTAAACCAATAAACCGCTTGTGTTGAGGTTATCAATCTGAATCGTTTTCATCTTGATTTTATTGCTACTATCAAGTTAATATACGGCGCTTGTTCTATATTGACTCGGTAGTAAGTTTTATTAATGAACGCTTCTCGTTATTAATAACTACCCTCGATGAACTGGATACACTCCTCGATTGAGTATTCGAGAGGAAGATAGTTAAAGATATAACGGGGATCGACGAACATTTCATTAAGTGGATAAAAGCAAAGCCAAGTCTTCTTCTCATTAATTAAACCACATAACTCGTTCATTTTCGTGTTTAATTTATTAAACCAAATCAAACTAAAACCCCCCATATTGTTACTAGTTCTATAATAAGAGAAGTATTCCTTTCCCTGTGGATACGAACCTTACTTCGCTATACTACGTATTAGTGTCGTATTGATATTTATTTTGAGTGCACCTCACGATAAGTGCACGTCAAATTTGGCGCCGTTGCCGGGGAAAGGCAATCATTTTTCTTTTTCTTTTATTTCAAGAAAAATAAAAAAAAAAAAATTTAAAATATAAAGAGTTCTTCTTCTATTTCTGAGCTTTGTAAAGTATATGGTAAAATATCGTTCACTGAACGAAATCACCTACAAATCAAACCCCGAAATAGAACAAACTCTCGAGCGGTTGAAAAACAAATTCTCAAGCTCCCACTCGGGAGAATCATCAAGTGCTAGTTCTCATTCTAGCGACACCGAAGAGCCAATATCTATGGCTCAAGAAACAAGAACCTTGAGGGAGCTCACAGCTCCAAACTTGAATCAACAACCGCTATGTATTACCTTCCCTACACTCAACGAAGGTAATACATTTGAGCTCAAATCAGGGCTCATTCATCTTTTGCCATCTTTCCATGCCTTAAGAGGGGAAGATCCGAACAAACATCTTTCGGAGTTCCATATTGTATGCACGAGCATGTGCCCCAACGGAGTCACAGAGGAGCAAATCAAGCTCAGAGCTTTTCCATTCTCCTTGAAGGACACCGCAAAGGACTGGCTTTTCTATCTTCCTTCCGGAAGTATAGACACATGGGCGGCCATGAAAAAATGCTTCTTGGAAAGGTATTATCCCGCTTCCATTTCATCATATCTAAAGAAGCAAATCAGCAACATCGAACAAGGTGATGATGAATCACTTTACGAATATTGGGAGCGCTTCAAAAAACTGTGCGCCAGTTGCCCATACCATGGGTACACAGAGCAAGACCTCATCCTCTACTTCTATGATGGTCTTGCGGAACATGATAGGCGAATGGTAAATGCGGCATGCGGAGGGGGCATTGTGAACAAAACCCCTTCTCAAGCAAGAAATCTCCTCTCGGAGTTGGCCGAGAACTCTAGGCATTACAACGGGAGATCCTCAACCCGTAAAGTTGCCGCGGTGGAATCATCTTCATCATTGGAAAGTCAAGTTGCCGGCTTGACTTCTTTGGTTAAGGATTTTCTCTTAAATTCCAAAACCCAAGAAGCCAAGGTCTGCGGCATATGCACACAACAAGGGCATCCAACCGATTCTTGCCCTACTCTCCAAGAAGAACAAGTCAATGCCTTGGGTTTCCAATCTCATCAACAAAAGAGGTACGATCCACACTCTAACACTTACAACCCCGGATGGAGGGATCATCCCAATTTAAGATACGGGAACCCTCAACAACAACAAAATCAATCATTCCAACAATCCTTCCCAAACCATCAAGGTCAAAACTCTAGCATGTCCACGGAGGACATGATTCGAAATCTTGCTTCTAGCGTATCTACCATGCAACAAAACATGGTACAATTTCAGAATGAGACCAAATCTAGCATTTCCAATCTGGAAAATCAAGTTGGTCAAATAGCCGGAGCCGTGAGCAGGCTAGAAGCAAAAGAGTCCTCAAAACTCCCTTCTCAAACGGAACAAAATCCAAGACAACATGTTAATGCAATCATGTTGAGAAGCGGAAAGGAGTTGGAGGGAAAAGAGATCCAAAGGAAGAAGGTCGAAGAGGAACTGGTTGAAGTTGAGAAACCAAGGGAGAGGACCACAAAAAATCCACCATTGGCATCACACGAACCACAACCCCCATTTCCCGAAGCATTAAGGGAGACAAAGCCGTTGAAAAACAACAAAGACATGTACGAGACATTTGCCAAATGCGAGGTAAATATTCCACTCCTCAACTTAATAAAAAGTGTCCCTCGATTTGCTAAATTCTTTAAAGAATTATGCACGATCAAGAGGACACACCACTCAAGAGGAAAAGAAAAAATTGAAATTAGTGAACATGTATCGGCAGTTTTCCAAAAGAAACTTCCACAGAAATGCACTGACCCAGGCATGTTCACTATACCATGCAAGCTAGGAGACACCATTTCTTCTAAGGCCATGTTGGACCTAGGGGCATCAATTAATGTGATCCCCTATACTCTTTACAATTCTCTGGAACTTGGACCCTTAAAAGAAACCGGTATCATAATCCAACTAGCTGATAGGTCAAGTGTTTCTCCAAAAGGGCTAGTGGAAGACGTACTTGTGTCGGTAGGTGATCTAGTTTTCCCTGCAGATTTCTACGTACTTGAAATGGAGAGTGATAAACATGAAGTCCCTATTTTATTGGGGAGACCATTTTTAAAAACCGCTAACTCAAAAATTGATGTTTCTAGCGGATTTTTAACTATGGAATTTGATGGAAAGAAAATAGAATATAACATTTATAATTCTATTAAACGTTACTCCCCATTTGAAGAAAAAATTGAATCAATCTTTGATGTTGGGGAAACACTAAATCAACCACCATTCATCGAACCTCGTGAAAATAAGTTGAAACCACCTGAACTTGAGGTGATAACTAAAATAAAAAACCGGCCTTGCTGGAAAGGGGCCAAAGATAAAATTGAGACATGGCCAAACAGGGCCTTGAATTCAGAGAAAAGGGATGTTCATGATCCCACATAAAAAACTGAAAAATAAAATAAAAATAACGTCGTGCCGCGACGTTAACTAAGGCGCTTCTTGGGAGGCAACCCAAGCTAAGGTACGCATTTTTCAATTTTTCTTTTCAACTCTTGTTTTCGAATGTCAACTTTGGGAGAATAGGAAGAAATTCTCGAAAAAAAAAATAAAAAAAAAAATCATGTTTTAAAGGCCTGGGGAAATCTCCGATCAGTCATCATCAGTTACCTGGTCGGATCCATGTCGAAAAGAGGATTAAAATGGGCGAAACAAAATTCCAGGGAAATATACCCGATCGAGTAAAAGTCCTACTCGGTCGGGTATAGGGTGAAAAAGCAAGATTTGGGATCGAGTACCCCATACTCGATCGACCAAAGAAGAAAAAAATGATCGAATACTCGATCGGGTATACCTCATACTCGATCGAGTACTTGACCCCTGGAGCTAATCTGAAATTCCGACACCATACCCGATCGAATAAATTTATATACTCGATCGAGTATATTTCCAAAAAATCCTACGGCGAGGAAAATCCGATCGAGTATACCCCATACTCGATCGCGGGCACAACCCTGGAACCAATTTTTGAAAAAAATGACTATACCCGATCGGGTATATTAATATACTCGATCGAGTATATTTATGGGAATTCCTACGGCGAAGAAAATTCGATCGAGTAAGGGGTATACTCGATCGAATCAAACCCCGAAACCAGTTCAAAGGCAGGCATACCCGATCGAGTAATCGGGGTACCCGATCGGGTACACGAACATTAAACTCGAATCAAAGGCCAAATTCCAACCATTCTTCTTCCCCAAAATCCCAAAATTCGAATCCCTTATCCCAAATCCTCCATTTTCACACCTTCAAGCTTTGATTACTCTCTCATATCTCAACCAAATCAACCCAAACCACCACCAAAACACTCCTCTCACCCTCCTCTACAATACCATACCCATCAAACTCACCCTCTCCCCATAACTCAAAAAATCCGAAACCCTACCCCCTAGACCCCAAGTCCGAACCCAAGCTCCTTATTTACTCAAAAATGGCACCAAAGAGGAACCAACCGGAGAACTCTAACTCAAGGGGACCTATCCGAGGCTATGAGGATGTTCAATTTGGCCCGGGGGATCATCGGAAGCGATTTGTGGCCGTTCTAAAAAGGCAAGTCATTCCTTCTCGCTTTTTATGCCATGAAGCTCTTAATTCACTAGGTTTGTTGGATGGCATGAGAGAGCTATTTGATGAATTGCATATGGGCTTGCTTTTTAATGTGCAATATAATTGTAATG